ATTTGTTGGTGAATTCGGTAGGACTGATTCCAGCTTTCCGCATTTCATAATGACTGGTGATAACTCAGTTTTGCATTTTCTAGACATTAGCAAAAAAATGCCCTCTATAAGTTATGCAATAATACAGCCACCAAATCCAAAAATACTTAAAGTTGCTATTATGGGTGCTCCTAACGCAGGCAAATCAACACTGCTGAATTCACTACTTGGTGAAACTGTTAGTAACCTAATTTCATTATTTTGGTTTGTCTGAGTATGCATGATATCCGATTTACCTTTGATTAACAGGTTTCCATAGTATCGGACAAAGCACATACAACTCGGCAACGTACGGCCGCAATACTAACAGAAGGAAGCTACCAGATAGTAAGTGCATTAAAAATCACCCGACAGGTGGTATTACTTCCGAACTTTCTTTTGTACCATCTGTCGCGTTCATTCAAATGCATGCTTGACTTTTCGTGTATTATTAACAGACCGTTAGATATTTCTCGATACGCCAGGGGTAGTCTCAGGAAAAAATAAGCATCGATTTAATAGAGAGCTTGTTAACGCGGCATGGCATACACTGCAAGAAGCTGACCATTGTAGGACATCAGTAACACAACCAAGCAATTTATTTTCTTATTTTAAATAACTTTGTTCTTGAACACTAGTGCTGGTTGTCGTTGATGCATTCAGAGCATCAACAAAATCTACATACACTGAAGAAACTATGTTTGATCGTTTGAATCGGTATAGCATTCCCGCCACATTGTGTTTTAACAAAGTATTTATGTACAAAATGTTATTTCGTCTGCGATTTTATTGAAGCTGATCACTTACATGTAATAATTGGCTATTTCACAGATTGACATGTTGGCAAACCAAAGAGACCAAGATAAATTGAGTCAGAAATATCATCATCTATACAACAATATCAAAGGGACCCTATTTATTTCTGCATTACATCTGGAAAATGTGAATGAACTCAAGGTAAAAAACCAGAAGTACATTGGCTATTACTATACTAATTAAGGGCTAACTGTGAATAATAATTTAGGCGAAACTTTTCTCTTATGCTTACTCCCACAAATGGCTCTATTCACCATCCCAAAAAGTCGATATGAGTGAAATAAGGCGAATTGAGGAATTCATACGTGCAGAATTTTTTGACAGATTTTATGATTATATTCCATATATGATTAAGCTTGTATGTTATTATGCTTGAACAATGTTGATGTTATATTTGTGTAAGCTAAATTGGAAATTGAATTTGATATCTTATAATAGAATAATTTATGGATGGAAGAACAGGATGATGGTAGGCTTAAAATAGTGGAAGAAGTACAATTGGAAAGGGATTCTCAAGAGGTAAATTTGATTTCAATCTTTCAAAAATGATCACATTTTTATAAGTGTGGTTGCTAACTACTAGTACATACAAACTGATAGAAAATAGTGGTAGGTAAAAATGGAAATGTAATCAAAGAGATTACAACTTCTGCAAAATCAAATATCGAACGTGCATTAGGAAAGTCTGTTGATTTGTATCTAAAAGTTAGGGTAGAAAAGAAAAAGGGTTAAGTACCAATATAATCTTGGAAAATCCAGCTTTATTAATTACTGTTACTAAAATAGTACGATGAAAAGTTGAATATATTTTCGATTAATTTATTCATAAATTATTACTTTACAAAGTGACTCAATTCAGGTTTTATCATATTGGTGTGTCCTACATTTTAGAAGATTATGGGTACCTGTCATTTATCATTTGGGTAGCTATGTAGAATTTCACCAGTACACAATGTCAATATGATGAACTTCTGTATGGCTCCAGTGTTGAGTTAGATAAAAAGAACATGCAAGGAATTGGTATAGTAATAGTAATAGTAGTAGGGATGTTGCCTTTCAGGGAAATGCCCCTCATGCCACTGATGGACTTTATTTCTAAAAAAGTCAAGTGCTGTTTTATCAGTGAAGATAGTAGTTCAGTCCAATATATATATTACACAGTAACTCTCGATAAGATGATGTCGTCGGGCCGGACCAAAAGGTTCATATTATCGAAAGTTCATTATATCGAGCGATCTCGTTATAACGAAGATCATATTTGAAT